CCTGTCGGCCCGGCCATTGCCGAGCTGCGCCCGCGCGGCAGCCGGGTGCGACGGGGCCGCAGACGGGTGCGACGCGGCCAGTTGCACCCGCAGTGCAGACGGGTGTGACGCGGCTGCAGACGGGTGCGGCGCGGCGCGGTCGGTGGAGCCCGCAGTGCAGACGGGTGCGACGCGGTCAGTGGCACCCGTGATGCAGACGGGTGCGACGCGGTCATCGACGCCTGCCATGCTGACTGGTGCGGCGCGGCGCGGTCGGTGGAGCCCGCAGTGCAGAGTGTGACGCGGTCAGTGGAGCCCGCAGTGCAGAGTGTGACGCGGTCAGTGGCGCGCGCAATGCAGACGGGGTGCGATGCAGCTTGCCATTGTTTTGTTGTTACAGGTCCACTTGCGCGATCGGGGGGTGCGGTATAGGCCATCAGACGTTATACCTCGTGCACGCATTTTTGCAATTGGTGCCGAAGCCAGAATGCCTTTAAAATGGTACCATAATTCCTGCCCCGTGCCATCTTACGCGTTGTCAATGACCGCGCCCCCACCGCCCCTCAAAGCGGCATGGCTGAGGGCTTCATTGCAACGACGCCCGATCATCTCACTGCTCCAGCCCCTACCGTGCATATCAAGCCAGTAGAGCGCGCGCCAGACAAAACAGCGGCGGGGCCCAGGCGCCAGACCTAGCGCCGCCTACACGGACCCAGCGGGTGGACGGTGGTGGGCGGGTAAGAAACTTTTGCTGTAGCCGGAAGGAGAACGGTGATCACCGCAACTGCGATGCTAGGACCAGCTGGTTGAACGCATCTACTCCCTATACAACACGTGGACGGATGCTCCGCGGTGCGCATCATACCTATTCACTAGTAAATCTGACACGAATACAATCTCCCCACAGGTCGGCTGCACACCACCAGAATAATCACCATACCTCGGCGTACGACGGTGCAGCTCTCGGCCACGCCCGGACCACGTGGTGCGCTGACGGTGGTCTCCCGGCGCCCCGGCTGCCCCGATGGCGACCGTCTCCCGGCGCCGGCCGGGCGCCTGTTCTCGACGCAGCCGCGGCGCCGGCCGACCCGGCGCTACACTCGGGCCCGTGCGCTGTTGAGTCCCGGCGGCGCCGGCCTCCAGCGGTACTGAGCTGGCCACCGGACAGCCTGTGGTGACCGCGGAACGCTCCCTCCCCCTCCCACCCAGCAGTCGGCCTTCAGCGGTGCTGGGCTGGCAGCCAGACGGCCGGTGGTGACCGCGGGATGCTCCCTCCCCCTCCCACCCAGGTGTCGACCTTCAGCTGTGCTGGGCTGACGGCCGACGGCCTGTAGTGGCCGCGGGACGCTCCCTTCCCTTCCCTCTCCCACTCACCATCCGATCGACGAGGCGTGGCTTCGTTGGGCAAGCGCCTCGTCCCAGAACGGCGGTTCCCGTCTTCGGCATCGTACGCGAGGTCGTCGTCAAATGACATCTTTCGTCACGGACCGGTTAGCCGAAATTTGTTTTACCCACGTAGTTTCGCTCGCTTTTCTATCGATGGCTTCATAGGTTCCCTGCGTCTCAAGCAGAAACGGCACATCTGAGGTACATCTAAATCGTTTCGTGCCTAGTTCGCGAGCCCCCTGTTCTTGCGTAGGTTTTACAGCGCTGTCTGGGTCTCCAGTGATAAACATCCACCAAGCTCTCGTCTATTTGTACGACTATCACTCTGCATAAATTGGCCCTGCTGACCTAATTTCAGATCCCGGCAATTGAAGCTTGTGCGTGTATCTAAGGCGCGCATATGTACTTGAAAGGGATCAGGAGAAATCACGTTACTTGTCTCGTCTAGCGTAGCGATGACTCCACGTTCTCATCGGAGCTTGCGCCATGTTTTTTTATTACATCTTCCATGCATAAAGATTTCCCTATATTGAACAATTTCGCGCATTTCATACAAATGGATACCCTCCTGGGTGTTGTCACACAAATAGATACCCTCCTAGATTGAAGTCAATACAACGCTCATGCCTTAATAGCACAATCTATGACCGGAACACATTTGCCAGTTTCCCAAACCTTGTATTATCGCTTGGTATTTTCACAGATAACGCGCCACGAAAGTTGATCATATTTATATCGCACGTACAGTATATATCACGTGGGCAGTCGGGGGAGGGGGAGGGCGCCAGCTGATCGAAGGGGGGAGGGGGCAGCGCGAGTCACAGCCCACCTGCAACGCGCGGAATGTATTTAAATAGAGGCTATATACAAACTCACTGAAATCCACAACAGCTATACCCGCGCGGCAAGGTGGCAAACGGAGACCGGCACGGCCGGGGAGCCCGGCGCACCGCGCCCCGACGAGGCGCGCCCTGAACATGCGGCTGGCCGCTGACGCCCGTCAGCCCCCGGCTCTGAACGGGGAGCCTACTGAGCCCCTTCTGGGGTCTCCGACGCAGCGCGCCCGTGGACCGCGCCCGGGCCTACAGCACAAGCCCGCCGAGAAGCCCACGGGGTCATGAGAGAGGGCAGCACGCGCGCCGCGGCCAGGCCGACGCACTGGCCGCTAGATGCGCTCGTAAGGCGGCTTCCTCTTGTCGTGAGAGCGGCTGTAGTCGTCCTGTACCAGCGGAGACGAGGTCTTGGGGCCTGGCGGACGGTGACCGGTCAGCGACGCCTACGCAGCTCGCCGCACGCGCGTCACGGGTACATACATCCAGACCAGAGGCACCGCGCGGCGCATGGTGACGAGCCAACTGCTGGCAATCAGCAAACTCGGAAATTTCATCTCGCTTTTCGCAGTTAGTTGAGGAGCTGAATAGTTCGGGTGTACAGCCACATATTTATATACTGACATCGTTTTATGCCAGTTATTACACACATCTAAATGCTTCAGCAAGCACAGGCCTAACAAAAGCATGATGCACACGAAAACAAGCATGGCGGGTGAAGCAAACGAACAAAACAACGTCAAACATTCCCATAACGGCATACTCGCTGTAATTTACATAGCGGACCTATTGCTCAAGGCAAAACTAATCTCATATCGACGTCAACTCAAAGAACAAAGCAAACCATAGTCATATCCGTAAAAATACGCAAAACTGAAGTGTTGTTGGTATGCAGTAGTGTTCCTTGCCATGACCCAGTGCGTGACACGGATGCAGTGCGAACGGACATAAGCAATCAAACAAAAATGTCATTCCATCAACTGCCAGTTACAACATAATGCCAATACGTGATCGTCACGCGGAGTTGTGTGAGTCACCTAGATTGACTCTTCAGGAATGCATTCGCCTAGAAGCACCGACCAATTGAGCAGGCCAAGCAACACGGTGGAACGACTCGCCCACGCCATCCACCTCCACAGCACCGCAAGCCACACCAAGCAGCGAGCCTCCTCCGCCCGCCCGCCCTCGGCTGCCCGTCGAACAGGGCGCCGGCCACACCCTGCACTAGTCTCCGCCGCTGAGCAACGGCCCGGGCATCAGCCGGCGGACGGGGCCCCGCTGCATGCGGACCAGACCACGGCAAGCACGCTCCACCACCGCGCTTACCTGGCCGGCGGCCGTGCGCCGGCGGCGCGGCGCGGCGGCGGACGGACGGGCCGACCGCCGCCGGCCGGCGCGGCGGGTGGCCGCCGGCGCGCCGGCCGTCACGCTCCCGAGCCCCGCGCCGCCCCTATACAGTGTGCTCCCGCCGGCCGGCCGGCTCCTCCCGCCGGCGCAGCCACGCAGCGCCGTCCTCGCTAGCGGTTAGTAGACCGGCTGGCACCATACAGTGTGGATGGACCGTTCCCGTGCCGGGCGTCGGCGCACCCCTTCAGCCAGCCATGCCTGCAACGGCGCCGGCCGGGCTGAGCCGCCGCTCCGCCCGCTCCGCCATCAACCCGCTGAAACGCGCGGACCGAGCGCACCAGCGTGGACAGCCGCCAGGCGACGCGGCTCCCGACGCCGTCAGGACCGCGCCGTCGCCTCCCTGCGTGTCTGTGGGAGTCAGTGTGTCGGTGTGGTGCGTGGCCGCGCCGTACCTACCTCTGTACTCGTCGTGGCCGCCCACGTAGCGCGGCAGCGGCGGCCGGCGCCGCTCCGGCGACGGGTCGCGGCCGTCGCTCAGCCGATCCGGGCTGAGCGAGGAGCGCGAGAGCCGGCGCGCCGGCGGCGACCAGTCTCTACCTGCGGCGCGGCGACCCGGCGGCGGGGGCGACGCGTAGCCGCGCTCCGAGCGGTGCGACCGCTCCGACAGCGGCGAGTCGCGCCCGTAGCGCGGGCTGTAGTCGTCGTAGCGACCGTCGGGCGGCCCCAGCGGCGTGTAGAGCGGCGGCGGCGGCGGCGGCAGGAAGCCCGGGTCGACGCCCGGCAGCGGCGCCGCCAGGAACGGGTCCAGGGGAGGTGGCGGTGGGAGGAAAGCGGCTGAAAGGAGCGGGTCGGACATGGGCTCGCCGTCCAGGCCAGGTGACAAAGCGCCCGTGCCGTTCGTGCTGAAAGCTGAAAGACCTGCCGCGGTCAGACTCTTCCCAATCGAGGGTACGGCCGACGACATGGCATACAGTACATAGCCGCCCGACGGCTGGAGCCGCACACAAGTTTATCAAAGTACAAATGAAAGACACGCAAACACGAAACTCTAGCCATATTATTTTTTTTTTAGTACAAGCGTCGCCACAAAACACAGTCAATACGGTGGCAGGCTTCGAATATGAACAGCAAACGTATTCATCATCAATCAACCATTAACGGAGCACCATCGGTCACAGAAGCACAGTAGAACTTGCAATACCCGCAATCCATGACAAAAGTTTACTAAGGCAAACGTTTACTCACACTGAAGATTTGCTTGCCCATTCACTAGACTGTTCTTCTCTTCCTCGGCCTTTGTTAATCTGCAAACGGAGCGGGTCGAGTGAGATCAACATACGCAGACCCCAAAAGGTGGCAAGGCAGCTCCGATCGTCAGGAGATGTCCGAGGCCCAGTGCCTGTACAACACCAGGCCTGACAGGCGCCACCGACGACCGACGCCCCCGACCCTCGGTACTCACAGGGCGCGGTACTGCGCCGCCTCTCTGTTGGCCTCCTCCAGCCGGCGCTCGGCCTGGCGGCACGTGACCCAGCTCTCGTGAGCGCGCTTCTCCAGCGCCTGGATCTGGGAGCGGAACGAGCGCTCCTGGTCCTGCAGCCGGCAGACAGGCGTCAGTCTCCCGGCCGGGCGAGAGGCGCTCGGACGGCCCCGGCGGCCGGCGGCCACTTCACAGCACCACACCGACACTGCACTCTCAGCTGGAGAACAGAGCCGGCCCGCTGGTCATCTCTGCAGTGTGGTACACGTGCGCAGATAGCGCCCACTCGGCTCGGGCTGTCGTGCCATGCACTGTTGCAAGCTGAAGCGCCTGCCTCTAAGGGCGGCTGCAGAGCTCACATCGCGCTCGTTCTCAGGCGCCGTCAGCACGTGCGGCACCGCACGCGCCTACCAAAGGCCACCCCAGTAGACTCGTGCGTTAAGCCCAGCGGACCGTGACTAATCATGAAAAGGCGGACCAGCGCGGCCGGCAGCGCACCTGAATCTCCTGTTTGAGCGACTCAATCAGCAGTTTGTTCTGTTCCAGCTGCTCGCTGTACTGGAGCAGCAGGCCCTGGTTGCTGGAGGCGTCTCCCTCGGTGTGATTGAGGCGCGACTTCAGCACGCCCATCTCCCTGTGGGGTGAAGGTGGCGTCTCGCGCTCACGAGGCACTCCAGTATGGGGTGAAGGGGGCGTCTCACGCTCACGAGGCACTCCAGTGTGGGGTGAAGGGGGCGTCTCACGCTCACGAGGCACTCCAGTGTGGGGTGAAGGTGGCGTCTCACGCTCACGAGGCACTCCAGTGTGGGGTGAAGCTGGCGTCTCACGCTCACGAGGCACCCCAGTGTGGGGTGAAGGTGGCGTCTCACGCTCACGAGGCACTCCAGTGTGGGGTGAAGGTGGCGTCTCACGCTCACGAGGCACTCCAGTATGGGGTGAAGGTGGCGTCTCACGCTCACGAGGCACTCCAGTATGGGGTGAAGGGGGCGTCTCACGCTCACGAGGCACTCCAGTGTGGGGTGAAGGTGGCGTCTCACGCTCACGAGGCACTCCAGTGCGGGGTGAAGGTGGCGTCTCACGCTCACGAGGCACTCCAGTGTGGGGTGAAGGTGGCGTCTCACGCTCACGAGGCACTCCAGTGTGGGGTGAAGCTAGCGTCTCACGCTCACGAGGCACTCCAGTGCGGGGTGAAGCTAGCGTCTCACGCTCACGAGGCACTCCAGTGCGGGGTGAAGCTAGCGTCTCACGCTCACGAGGCACTCCAGTGTGGGGTGAAGGTGGCGTCTCACGCTCACGAGGCACTCCAGTGTGGGGTGAAGCTAGCGTCTCACGCTCACGAGGCACTCCAGTGTGGGGTGAAGGTGGCGTCTCACGCTCGCGAGAAACTCCAGTGTGGGGTGAAGGTGGCGTCTCATGCTCACGAGGCACTCCAGGCAACCTGACACGGCCCTGTTCCACACTTGCACGCATTTAAACGGATGCCGGCAGTCACTGATAACTAACTTGATTTCTTTTGGAGGGCCAAACCTTTAGACGCAACAGTTTAAACTAGATTACTACGTTCAAACGTCCCGTCAATCAGCACGCGTCAACAAATGCGACTGTCTCAAGTCGAGCTTCGTCATCAATTTGCTTTTCATTGAAGGCCATCGTCACACCCGATTAACTGTGAAGTTAATCAGTGAGCATACCACGACCAACAACTAACCCGTACCACATATTCCAGTAGTGAGACCCAGCTACTCGATGCTTTGGCCCATACTTGGCCCCGCTGCCTCGCTGGCAGCGCGCGAGGCACCACAGGCGGCGGCCGGCACTCACGCCTGGAAGGAGACCTCCTTCTTCTGGAAGTACTTCTCCAGGTGGTCCAGCTTGGACTCGGCCTCGAACTTGTCCACCTCGGCCTTCTCGCAGCGTTCGGACAGCTGCGTCATGTCAGCGGCCAGTGTCTTCTCGGCCTCTGTCGGGCGGCGGTGGCTCCGGTCAGAGCAGGGTGCGGGTCAGAGCAAGGCTAGTGTGTCAGAGCAGGGCCAGTGTGTCAGAGCAAGGCCAGAGTGTCAGAGCAGGGCCAGTGCGTCGGAGCAGGGCCAGTGTGTCAGAGCAGGGCCAGTGTATAAGAGCAGGACCAGTGTGTCAGACCACGGCCAGTGTCTGGGCAGGGCTGGTGTGTGAGATCAGGGCCAGTGTGCCAGAGCAGAGCGTCGGAGCAAGGCCAGTGTATAAGAGCAGGACCAGTGTATAAGAGCAGGACCAGTGTCAGGGCAGGGCTGGTGTGTGAGATCAGGGCCAGTGTGCCAGAGCAGAGCGTCAGAGCAAGGCCAGTGTATAAGAGCAGGACCAGTGTCAGGGCAGGGCTGGTGTGTGAGATCAGGGCCAGTGTGCCAGAGCAGAGCGTCAGAGCAAGGCCAGTGTATAAGAGCAGGACCAGTGTATAAGAACAGGACCAGTGTATAAGAGCAGGACCAGTGTCAGGGCAGGGCTGGTGTGTGAGATCAGGGCCAGTGTGCCAGAGCAGAGCGTCAGAGCAAGGCCAGAGTATCAAAGCAGGGCCAGTGTGTCAGAACAGGGCCAAAGTGTCGGAGCAGGGCCAGTGTGTCACAGCAGGGCCAGTGTATCAGAACAGAGCCAAAGTGTCGGAGCAGGGCCAGAGTGTCAAACCACGGCCAGTGCGTCAGAGCAGGGCCAGTGCGTCAGAGCAGGGGCAGTGCGTCAGAGCAGGGGCAGTGCGTCAGAGCAGGGGCAGTGCGTCAGAGCAGGGGCAGTGCGTCAGAGCAGGGCCAGTGCGTCAGAGCAGAGCCAGTGCGTCAGAGCAGAGCCAGTGCGTCAGAGCAGGGACAAAGCGTCAGAGCAGGGCCAGGTGTCAAATTCCGTGTCACTGCAGTAATTACAGCGGCTGCCGGAGACCTCGGGCTCTGAGCGTGATACATTGGCGGCTACCATCAGCACCACCATCTTCCATTAGGTCTGCACTTACCCTGAGCCTTCTTCAGCATCTCCCGCTCTGTACTTACCCTGAGCCTTCTTCAGCATCTCCCGCTCCGTACTTACTCTGAGCCTCCTTCAGCATCTCCCGCTTTGCACTTACCCTGAGCCTTCTTCAGCATCTCCCGCTCTGTACTTACCCTGAGCCTTCTTCAGCATCTCCTGCTCTGTACTTACCCTGAGCCTTCTTCAGCATCTCCCGCTCTGTACTTACCCTGAGCCTCCTTCAGCATCTCCCGCTCTGTACTTACCCTGAGCCTTCTTCAGCATCTCCTGATCTGTACTCACCCTGAGCCTTCTTCAGTATCTCCCACTCTGTACTTACCCTGAGCCTTCTTCAGCATCTCCCGCTCTGCACTTACCCTGAGCCTGCTTCAGCATCTCCTGCTCTGTACTTACCCTGAGCCTTCTTTAGCATCTCCCGCTCTGTACTTACTCTGAGCCTTATTCAGCGTCTCCCGCTCTGTACTTACCCTGAGCCTTCTTCAGCATCTCCCGCTCTGTACTTATCCCGAGCCTTCTTCACCATCTCCCGTTTTGTACTTACCCCGAGCCTTCTTCAGCATCTCCCGCTCTGTACTTACCCTGAGCCTTCTTCAGCATCTCCTGCTCTGTACCTACCCTGGGCCTTCTTCAGCATCTCCCGCTCTGTACTTACCCTGAGCCTCCTTCAGCATCTCCCGCTCTGTACTTACCCTGAGCCTTCTTCAGCATCTCCTGATCTGTACGCACCCTGAGCCTTCTTCAGTATCTCCCACTCTGTACTTACCCTGGGCCTTCTTCAGCATCTCCCGCTCTGCACTTACCCTGAGCCTGCTTCAGCATCTCCTGCTCTGTACTTACCCTGAGCCTTCTTTAGCATCTCCTGCTCTGTACTTACTCTGAGCCTTATTCAGCGTCTCCCGCTCTGTACTTACCCTGAGCCTTCTTCAGCATCTCCCGCTCTGTGCTTATCCCGAGCCTTCTTCAGCATCTCCCGCTCTGTACTTACCCTGAGCCTTCTTCAGCATCTCCCGCTCTGTACTTACCCTGAGCCTTCTTCAGCATCTCCCGCTCCTGTCTCCATTTCTCCTTCAGTTTAGCTCTCTCTTTCGTAAGCTTTTCAACCTGGGCCTTAAGCTTACTCCCATCCAGAAGTGCCTGAACATTTCCATCCGCTGCGAACAAACGAAAGACAAAGATTATAGTTCGACACCGGCAAGCGCAACTCTATCGGCGAGCATTATTACGGACCCCAACGCACACCCCCCGTACTCGTTAAACACCAACGAGCCTCCCTAGTTACATACATTGCAAACCAGGCCAATGAACCGCCAACCCTTGTCGCCAGCCGGCTTCCCGCCAAAGCCAGCTGGCGACAGGTGGGGCACGCGGAGACGAGCCGCGGGCCTGACGAGGTGGACGGAGACGCGGCCAGATGGACGGTGGCCGGGGAAAGACTGGCCGACACGCGGCAACACCGACCGACCCGGGGTCACAGATGAAGGGCCGGCTGCCAGTCGGATCGGCAGCGGCTAGAGCCGGACTGGGACGGGTCGGAGGGCACTCACAACCGTTGTCGGTGCCGTCCTCGCGGCTCTTGAGCACGCCGCGCAGCGTGTCCAGCTCACTGACGAGGCCCTCAGACTGCGCGCGCGCCTCCTCGTGCTGTTGCTCCAGCTCGGCCAGCCGCTCCTCCAGCAACGACACCTGCCGGCCGGCGCCGCCCGGTGTCACAGCCAGCCAGCCGGCCAATCACAGCACGGATGCCCCGGACCGCAGTCACAGGGCACGAGTGTATGGAGGACTCGGTAACTCGACCTCCGCTCATCCAGCTGTGTGTAGGCGGGAACATTCAGAACATGGGCAGCAGCAATCATAACTCAAAAGGCAGCAGTGTGGGAAAAACCTCCGTTTTCTGGTGGATGTGGCACCAGGAAATTTTGTACTCCAGGCTCTTGACTGGTAAGAATGACAATTTTTGTACTCCAGACAAACGCTGCAGTCACCCCACAAAGCAGACACCATTGCAAATGTATGAGCCTGAGTATAAGTACCAAGGCAGACAGTTTTGCTTTCTTGATAGCCGGGAGGGTGCATGAACTTGGCTTTCATAAAGTGAGTTATAACTTTTATTCTATTTCCAGGGACCGAACATATGGAGCACCAAGAAATGGAAACAAGCATCTGCAATCCTGCAGGAGCTGGCCAATCCAGGGCATTTATGTCAATGTCCTTCATCATTGTATTACATGGGTTAGATGCACTTGTACAAGCCTATGCAACTCCTGAATGGTGATGACAACTCATGTGAATTACTTCTGTGGGAATGAAATAAACTGAAATATGAAATGTGCTTGTTTTAAGTACCTACCGCCGCCACATACCTCGCATGTCATTACCTGCGGGGAAAATATATGGCGCACCTGAGTAAGTAAGACCGCATTCTCCACGACGCACACACCTACCGATGCCTTTCAAGAAACGGACAAACATATCACGGCTCCGGCTCCCACCACGCGACGAACCCATCGCCTCCCGTACCCGAAACCAACGGCACCCCAGCCTCCTGCAACTGACGAGTGCATTTTCGAGCAGTGAAGGTCCGCGTCGCAACAGACACCTACAACAATATTCGTTCGACCAGAAAATCACTGGCAGCACCAAAATCATCGATGGCACATCTCTTTCAACTAGGTCATTCAAAGACTCGCCGAGCAAGAAGTCCAGCACGCCAACTATGCTCTTAACTTACCTCATATTAAGATAACATGTTAGCGATTTTACCAAAGGACGTGCATCTTGCACACAGTTTGGTGGGAAAATTCCAAAGATTGCAGCATTGCACATCCTTTTCAAAGCGCCTGTTTCATTCCTGTTCCTGCCATACGAGCCACCAATCACCATCCAACTTGCAATTAAACTCAAAATCATAGCATTCAAACACACCACATATCGGCACTTTTGAGATAGAATCATGACATTAAATGGCACCCAAATATCACTTTGTGGGCGGCACTTTTGGTGGTAACGGCTTCTTTTGGGTTCTTAAATGTCATCGGGAATTACGTTCCCAAATTGGGAGTTTGTGGCATGCAGCATTCCAAAACTTATTACTATTGTATAAATGATAGTACGTCAACCACTTTTTCAGGAATCGGTAAATGCCGGTCTTTGAAGATTCGAGGATATCTTACTTATTGAACAACGGTATCATGTCTCCAGGCTCAACCAGTACCTATAATTGTAAGATAGAGATGGTCCGTAACCCAGTGGGAAAAGTCGCAGTACTTGGTTGCCCTTCTCACAATAGGGCCTATGGGGAGACCCGGGGAGAACAAGCCAGAGTACAAGCCGGAGAACAGCAAGTTTTTAGCACAGTTGGCCAAATTTAATCGAAAAAATTAAGTGTTTTGGTATCGCCCAGATACGAGCCTTCCTAAGAGGGTGTTGAAATGTCATGATATGCCTTAGAATGAGAAATATCTATAGATTTATAGTACAGGTACTGCATTATCTCGGCGTTGTCTTGCGCCACCAGAAGATAATATATATTTGTAGGTGGAAAATAGCAACTTGAAATGCATGACTGTAAAGCTCTATGATTTTTCTACCACAAACTTAACAATTTGTGTTGGTGCAACTGCATAAATGGCTTTTCTTAGACTATTCATCACAGCCTGTCATTTCAGGACCGACCCGTGGTACTTGTACTTGGTTGCCCCATTGACGAGTGCTAGAATGCCATCACAATGTCTGTGAATGCGCCAGAACTCCTGTGCATGGTTTGGTTGTTGTCTTGATGTGGTGGGAGTGAGGAGGGCGGAGGGTGAGTGAGGCTGCTTGGGATTATGTGCGTCGTAGTTGCGAGTTTGAGGTATTCAGTGAGGCAAAGTGGAATTGGTTGTCCTCAATTTTCACACAGCATGCATCCACACTTCTAAAGTTACTTGGGATTTAGCTTTGGACCGCTATTAAGTCATTCCAAAAAAGGTAAATGAATACCGGGGACTGATCTATAAATGTTTACCGCTGCAGGCTGGTACAGAATCACCTTGGTATAACCTGCTCTACCTACAGCATGGTGGGCAGGTACGTAGGTACTAAGATATCTATATACAACATTAATGCTAGGCTTGGGTTTCCCATGTGGGATCAAATATGAGGCTGGCCTCTTTTCAGCCTGTGGTTATAATTGCTATAACCTGACAGATGGCAATGCTGCCATGTTCCTTGCTGTCAGGCATAAGGTATTGCAGTGACACTATTAAAACTGTCCCTACATAGGATCATAGGGAACTTGGAGAAGAGGAGAGGGATAATAGGAGGTGCAGGAAGAGAGGAGGAGCAGAAGTGGAAGAGGAGTGGAAGGAGAAGAGTGACAGAAAGAGAAGCTGAAGAACTGAAAGAGCAGAAGAGCAGAAAGAGAAGGACAGGAAGAGGAACACTTTTGGTATGTTTATATCAATTATGTAAAGGCCAAAAGGACAACATGTTAGTGATGTCACATACATAAGGCTTTCATAGTCAGTTGCAGCTGCCTAAGACTCATTAAAAACTGGGGTGTGATGCACAGTGGTTGTCTGCAATTCAGTTTGTAAGTAAGCAGAGGACGCACCTGATTTATCATTTTGATATTGTGTAAGTTTGCATGTGGATAGGTAATGATGAGTAACTGAGCTTTGTATGATGCACCTGTGAATGTATATGTATAAAGTTTTGTTGTTAACCTCTCTAACTGTATATTTCTTATTAACATGTACCATTACTCGATCTTTGCATGCATAGGTGAGCTAGTAGCACTACAGGGATATGGATGGGATCAATGTGGCACCCTCACTCACAAGGAGTGCTCTGTTCCACTGAGATGCAAAATTGCATGCTGACACTAATTTTTGCCAGAAAAACGTTGGGAAAATGTTGACCCATTAAAGGCAGTATGTGATGTACTCCAAGCAAGGCCCGTTGTGCAGACACTCATTCCACATTAGACAGACCTTTGCTTGCAGGCAAGTTTGTACTCTGACCACAAAAAATTGTACTCCGCCACCAGCAAAAAAAAAAAACAACTAAATTTCCCACCCTGAAAGGCACCGATCACAAAATAGCATAAACCAAACGCGATTTTGGGGACATGCGGCGTATGCATATCCTGACGTCGTCGACGTTGTGGGAGGACGCGGATTGTCAGCGCACAACCACGCCAGACGCTCCGTGGTGATGGCCCTTCCCTCAATCCACTGCCGCCAACCATCGTCACCGAAGTTAAGTGTTGCATTTGCATCCCAGGTTAAGCGCACAAAGTAACGTTGTTTACCCAAGCACAAACCCAACACTGAATACGCTTCGAGAGCTGTTATCGCCCAACAAAACGGATAAACTCTTATATCTCTCCTGGCCACTCCCCAAACAGGACACCAGAGAGAGGACTGATCCCGGCTGCGGGCGGGGCGGAAGGGCAGCGGACGCAGCGTGCGGGTCGCATTGCCACTCTCCACACAGGACGCCACAGAGAGCGCTGAGCCCGGCTGTGGGCGTGCGGGCCGCGTCGCCACTCTCCACACCAGACACCAGAGAGAAGACTGATCCCGGCTGTGGGCGGGAAGGCAGCGGCTGCAGCCCACGGACCGCGCCAGCCGAGCGTACCTTCTCCTGTGAGGCGTCGCGCTCGCCGGTAACGGCGGCGCACCGCTCGCTCAGCTCCGTCTCGCGCTGCGCCAGCTCGCTGAGGCGGCGCCGGTGCTGCTCCTCCAGCTCGGCGCTCACCTGGCTGCTGCTGCCCAGCTGCCGGCCACAGGACACAGGTCCAGATACGGACCGGCATGGCGCGCGCGACCCCAAGCTCGCCACAGCGGCGCCGGTCGCCCACCACGAACAGCGAGCGCTCCACTCTGGTGGGGAGTCGCGCCGCAGACGGCGCGGACGGTCCATAACGCTGCTCCCATGCCAACTAGATCTGTCGTGTCCCAGTCCTCACACGACACTGCTGAATAGCAGAGCTCCCCGACGCGTGCACGTCTGCGCCGCAATGTTCCACCCACGGACACTTCCATCGCCGTGTTCCTGGCGCGGTCGCGTCGCAAAGCCCTTCCCTCGTTGAATGAGCCCAATGTCCGGGTTCCCATCCTGGACAGTTGTTCTCAATCCCTTTCATCGGTCCAACGTCTGTCCGCAGTGCTCACCTCTGCCAGCTGGGACTCCAGCTGTTTAATTTTTGGCCTGGTCTTTGACAGCTCCTCGTTGAGGTGCTTCTTGTCTTTCTTCAGCTTGTCAACTTCACCCATCAGCTTCTTGCGCTGCTGCTTCAGTTCCGTCTCCAGCTTGCTCACCGTCTCCACAATCATAGAGTCTAGCTGAGGGTTGTTTGCCTGAAACAGGGTTGACACACATAACATTCTGAAGCTTGCATGAAAGGAAGGCATGGAGGGGAGAGGGAGCGCAAAGCAGCCGGGGTAAGCAGCTTCAAAACGTACTTAACCAAATGCAAAATTGTTCCAACACCTACCTTTATCGCATCTCTGAACAAGCTGCTCCACCCACAGGGCACCACCGCCAACCGCCACGACACGACAGCATCTGCCGATGCCCACCCGACCCGGCACGTACCTGCTGCGAGCTGAGCATGGCCGTCTGCTCCTCGAGCACCTGCTGCGCCTCCTGCAGCTCCTGTTCGAGCGCGGCCACCTGGCCGTTCAGCTCGGTGATCTGAAAGCGGGCGTCCTCGAGCTCGTCCTCAGCCGCCTGCTGGTCGGCAGCGGCCGCCTGCAGCTTCGCCTGGCTGTCCACCGACCCACCCTCCACCAGCTGTCGGCGCCAGCGAGGTCAGGGCGAGCGACGGCTGATCGGCGGCAGACACGGGGCATGTACTCTGACACCGACCGCAACAGCTGCCAGCGGCCCTAACTGGAGGCGACAGACAGCACAGGGCACACAGTGGCACCAACATCACCAGCTGTCGGCAGTAAAGCATTGGGACTAGCATCGACAGCGGTCGGCCGGCCACGTACGCGATGTAACCAAACCACCCTCACCATAGAATGTAACTAAACTAGACAGCTGGCTGGCAAGTTATGGCACCAGGTACCGTGAAAACCATTCCATTTAGTTCGCTGCTAGCACACCCAGTGCAGCAGCAAGCTTCGCACGCTAGCAGCTGACAAAAGAGCAAACTACAGCGACACTAACTCGCACATTAGTTGACAGCATATGGCCTGGGTGCAGAGGTATAAACTCCATCAATCAGTTCACAACACACTCAGCGGCAAAGTCACATCCAGCAGCAAATAACGAAAGGTTCAACGCGTACGATATCAGCAAATATGCAATGATAGTCTGCAACGCTGCGACAAATGGAGCTACGATGTTGTGACATATTCGTCTCTAATCAATTAACTCATCAATGCACTACCATCGTTTGTTGGACAGTCCACCTGCACAACGCCTGGGTGTACAGGCATCCCGGGAGCACAAGCCAGACCAGCTCCGGCAGCCTCGCCCCGTCAGTACGTCACCATTCTCCGACTGACCACTGGCATAACCTGCCCGGCCGGGCATTTGGGCATGATAACCATCACGCAGACACCACCACACCGCTATCATGACCAGCATACACCATCACGAGCACCACCGAGCCCGCGATCACGATAAAGGGAGACAGCGGCGCGCTGGCTAACGGCCGGGGAACGCGCCCAGTCTCGGCGCAGCTGGCGGGCTGGCTAACGGCCGGGGAACGCGCCCAGTCTCGGCGCAGCCGGAGCGCTGGCTAACGGCCGGGGAACGCGCCCAGTCTCGGCGCAGCCGGCGCGCTGGCTAACGGCCGGGGAACGCGCCCAGTCTCGGCGCAGCCGGCGGGCTGGCTAACGGCCGGGGAACGCGCCCACTCTCGGCGCAGCCGGCGGGCTGGCTAACGGCCGGGGAACGCGCCCAGTCTCGGCGCAGCCGGCGGGCTGGCTAACGGCCGGGGAACGCGCCCAGTCTCGGCGCAGCCGGCGGGCTGGCTGGCAGGCCGGCGCCTCGGACGCACCTGTTTGTTGGTCTGCTCCAGCTGCGCCTTCAAGGAGTCCGTCTCCTCCTTGTAGACTGTCAGCCGCTGGTGCAGCTTACTGACGGCCCGCTTTAGCGCCGCCTCGCCCCGGAACTGCTGCAGGGGGGGGGGGGGGGGGAGGACGTCAGACGCCGAAATCTAAGGCACAGCTCAACCGCCCACCACTGGCAGCAGCAGAGAGATCTTTGATCCTGCTGGCTAAAGCGCAGCACCGCAGGGCGCATACCCGACGACCGCCGCTCCTTACATGTAACACGAGCATGATAGAATATATCCCGTGCGAGATAATCACCCTCCATAATCTCCGCTAACAAACACATTCCGTTCACTGCGCAGCGGACGGCGTCACGTACCGAGACCAGCCGTGTTCCGATGATCAGGACGACGAGCGAGAGCCCGACGGTGGAGAGCAGCACAGAGAGGCGCAGCGCCGCCGCCGGTGGCGTCCGGGCCGGCCGCGTACCCGTCCAGCAGCGCCCACAGACCGGCCGGCAGCTGCCGAGCACGGGCTCCGTTACGCGGCGTGGCTACAAGGCATTCCGGGCGTCTGCGCCGGGCGTCACGTCTCAACGGGAGACTGCAGCGCGCAGCTCTGCCACACACCGGCCTTGTGGCGGGAGGCCGGCTACGGTCGGTTCCGCAAACACCATCACCACCGTCCTGTACCCGGACGGCACTCACACACCAGCCTTTATTACGCTGCGCTCGAATGGTACACGACCACTTCACATCCTTGAGGTCTCATCGTCAGGCAGCGCACAGCGTATACATTTGACTGATTCGTCCACCACTGCTGCGTGCAGCCGACAGTGCCATATCGAGTGCGAATAGCTCAAACACGATAGTGTGGGGCGAGTGCGCGGTGAACAGCAGCTGTGCACGCTTCCCCGTCCACGCTGGGAGCACCGCTCCGCCCGGCCATCACCACTCACCAGACCGGCGGCCACCTCCTCGGCCAGGCCGGCGGCGGCGCCCTGCTCCGGCGCCGCGTGCCAGGCGTCGCCGTACGCGCTCTCGCCGTACGCGCTGTCGCCGTACGTACTGGACGGCTGCGAGTACGGACTCTCCGACTGCGGCTCGGCGAACGGCTCGTCCCCGACCGGCGCGGCGTCAGTCTCGACGGCCGGCTCGGCGGCCGGGGCCGCGTACGACGGCCGGCGGTAGTCGCGCGACAGCGGGTCGTAGCTGGGCAGCGCGGTCGGGCTAGCGTCGCCTGGAACCGACCGCCGAAGTCGTGAGCCGGCCGCAGGCGCACCAAGCACCGACTTGGAACGCCTGTGAGCGGGACGGGGGAAGCTTTGAACAATGGATGGAACTGCTGAAAATCCGGACTGTGCTACAGTACGCAGTCGTAAGATGGAACAACATGGCTTGAAGCTGATTACCATCAGCTGGTGCTTCGGATGACACATATGAGGGATATAATGCAAGCCTCCAATGTTCCGACATGCCCCGATTGCTTGCTCCAGTAGCCTCACGTTCAGTTCATGCTCAACTACGGTGCATGCACTGCATACGCATAGCAATACGCGTGCACAGAAACCCTAAAAAACTGAGGTTCCAAGTGCGCCTGAAATTTGTGTGCATCGGTCAAACTCAGCATTACCCAACATTCGTCTCTCTTACCACAGAAGATGCCCGCGCCACCAACAAGCACGCCAACTATCGAGCCAGCATGCACCGACTGGCAGCCCCCCGCCAGGCGTGCCGTGAGCGGGCCGGACGGCAGTGCGGGTGTTAGTGCCGGCGGCCGTGCGTCCACGCGGTGCGTCCCGGCCCTCACCCAGAGGTGGCCGCCTCCGCTTCAGCTCGCGCACCAGCCGGCGCCGCTCGCGCAGCAGGCCGCGCTCGGCATCCAGCCCGACCGACGCTGCAGCGGCCTCACCGGGCTCCCCACACTCCGACTCGGCATCAGACGGAGCTGTCAGCCGTTCCTCCGACTCAGGCTCGGCACCGTCCAACGACGCTGCCTCTTGTTCCTCCGACTCGGGTTGAGCACCGCCAGCTGGCGCTAAGTGTTCTTCTGCATCAGACTCGGCAGTGTCCCACGAGGCTGCGAATCCATCTTCCACGTCAGATTTGGCACCTTCACAAGCATCTGTTTGTTCATGCTGCCCAGACTGATCAGTGTCGGGCAAGGCTGTCGTCTGCCAATCCGACTCGGACTGGACGCCACCATCTGATTCTGTCCCCTGCCCGTCCGAGCCCGGCTCCGTCGTAGTGCGCTCCGACAGCCCCACCCCAACGCCGTCTGGAAGTTCCCCACCACCTGGGTTCTGATCCCCATCCAGCGCTCCTTGCGCGACCTCTTGTGTCCTCCCATCCACACCAGTCACACCTGCGGACATCAAGCGGTTCTCCATGTGTCCTGTTGTCACAGGCCGACTGTCTAAAGCCGCCCCATCGTCGTCCCCGTGCTGGCCGTCTAGAGCCGCCCCATCGCCGGCTCCGTGCTGGCTGTCTACGGCCGTCTCATCATCGGCTCCGTGCTGACTGTCTAAAGCCGCCCCATCGTCGGCTCCGTACTGGCTGTCTAAAGCCGCCCCATCGTCGTCCCCGTGCTGGCCGTCTAGAGCCGCCCCATCGCCGGCTCCGTGCTGGCTGTCTACGGCCGTCTCATCATCGGCTCCGTGCTGACTGTCTAAAGCCGCCCCATCGTCGGCTCCGTACTGGCTGTCTAAAGCCGCCCCATCGTCGTCCCCGTGCTGGCCGTCTAGAGCCGCCCCATCGCCGGCTCCGTGCTGGCTGTCTACGGCCGTCTCATCATCGGCTCCGTGCTGACTGTCTACAGCCGCCCCATCGTCGGCTCCGTACTGGCTGTCTAAAGCCGCCCCATCGTCGGCTCCGTGCTGGCCGTCTAAGGCCGCCCCATCGTCGGCTCCGTGCTGGCTGCCTAAAGACGCCCCATCGTCGGCTCCACGCTGCATGCCGCCTCGGTGTTGCGTGTCGGCTGTTGTTCGCTCTCCGCCCGGAGCAGACTGTGTGGTGCTCAGACCGACCGCTGCGTCGGGCGTGACCCCATCCGGCCGACCATCACCGCCTGGGCGCCCGTCACCCCCTCCAGTTCCCAGGGCCGAGACCTCCCGCACAGCCTGCCCCTTCGACAGGATCTCGTCACCGCCATGCCCCGGCATCGGCACCCCCTCGGCGGTGTCCTGCAGCGCCTGCCGTCCCGGCCCCGGGACCTCCGAGGCATCGCTCTCCCGGGCAGAGTGCCGTCCGGCGGTCAGGACGGGGGCAGGCGGCAAGCTGCCGTCGTCCTCCGCGGGCTCCGCTGAGCGCTGGTCCCCCGTCTGCGGCGCGACACTGCCCTCGTCGGCTGCTGGCGGGACCACGTTCCCGGTCGAGACGGGAGCGGGCGGCAAGCTGTCGTCGTCCTCCGTGGGCTCCGCTGAGCGCTGGTCCCTCGTCTGCGGCGCGACGCTGCCCTCGTCGGCTGCTGGCGGGATCTTGTTCCCGGTCGAGGTCCCGGCCCCAGGACCGACGGATTGCGCGTGCGGCTGAGAGGCGTCCACACCAGACGTCTGGGACCCCAGATGGGAGGCTGGCGAGAGCTCTACACGGGAGTCAGGGGAGTCCCCCTCACCGGCGGCCGGCGACGGCGCGGCCCGGCCGCTCGCAGACGCCTGGGACCCCAGCTGGGAGGCCGGCCAGTGTTCCACACGGGAGTCAGGGGAGTCCCCCTCACCAGCGGTCCGCGACGGCGCGGCGGTCAGCCCCGGCGGGCCGGGGATGCCGAAACCTGTGCGGACGGTGTGCTGGTCAGACCGGCGCGAGGGACACGCCTGTAGCGTCAACCGCCACCGCCACCGCCACCGCCACCGCCACCGCCACCGCCACCGCCACCACTACCACCACCACCATTATCGACACTGACACCGTCATCAGCCGATCACCAGGCCGAATTCAACGCCGCTTCCTCAGCCTGCGCGGGAGGACTGGCACCGATTACAGTGGAAGTACAGAGGATTGTGCACCTGGGTGGAGGAGGCGAGGGACATTATGCACTGTACAGATCACGAGAAAACATCCACTTACCCGACCACCACACAGCAACATACGGGGACGAACAACACCAAAGCACCTGCCCCGAGGACTCACTGCATCACCGGCTCAGCGCCCGTATGTCTGCTTTGGCCTGACCGCAGTATCGCCGGTTGCAGGTACTCACCGGCCGCCGGCTGCTCCACGGGGTCGGTCGGCTGGTCTTCTGCGGCAGGAGAGGCCGACTCTGGCCCGGCCCCGGACGCCGCCCCCAGGCCCGGCTGCTCGGCGGCCGGGTCGGGCGCCGCGCCCGCATCCGGCGCCTCGCTGGCGGCAGCGGCCGAGTCGGAGTCGGAGGCCGTGTCGGCAGCGGCAGCGGAGGCCGTGTCGGTGTCAGAGGCCGTGTCGGCAGTGGCGGTGGCGACCGTGTCGGCAGCGGCGGCGGCGGCCTTGTCGGCAGCAGCGGGCTCGGCCAGCGGCGTCGAGCCGGCGCTGTCCACGGCGTCGGTACGCGGCGACGAGTCGGGAGCCGGCGGCAGCGACACAGCCGGCTCCTCAGTCGGGGCGACGCCGGCGCCCGGCCCATTCACCTGCACCACCGAGCCCCAGCCGACCGGCTGGGCCGCACTCCGCGGCGGCGCGTCTGCCTCCGTCTCGACCCCTGCCACCAGCGGCGGCGGTGGGGCGGTGGTCTCCGCCCGGTCCGGGACCGGCGTCACGGCCGGCGGCGGTGGCATGGCGGCGGGCTCCGCCTCACCCGGGGCTGGCGTCGTGGTCCCCGCCGGCGGTGGGCTGGACAACGGGGTCGCTCCGCCCTCCAGCGCCGACGACACGCCTCCGGCCTCGCCGACGTCCGCCGCGTCTCCCGCCACGTCATAGCCGAGATACTCGTCTTCGTAATCGGTCGTCATTTTATCGCCTGGAAAGTCTCCGCCGGTGGCTTCGACCTCCTCCCCGCCGTTTGCATGCTCTGCGCCCTTCGGCACCGCTTCCAGATCGGCCTTCTGCGAGCCGTCAGTCGGCGCCGGCTTGGCGTCCACGTTCGGACCTTCCGCCTTCTTTTCCGCAGCCATCTCCGGAGCGTCAGCGGCGGTCGGCGGCGTTTGGTGCGGCTCAGCAGCCTGCGATGGCACGCCGGCGGCCGGCTCCGCGCTCGCGCTGCCGAGGGCCCCCCGGAGCGCAGCGGCGCCGTCTGGCGACGGCTGCAGCTGCTGCGCCGAGGCACCCACCACGGTGCCGAACAGATTCCGGTGTCCGCCGCTGGCGTCCAAGCCCGGGGCGCCGCTCAGCTGCAGATGCGGGTGCTGCTGCAGCAGCTGACCGGCCGGCTGGAACGCCGCCGCCTGCTGCTGATGCTGCTGCTGCTGCTGAGCCAGCGACAGAACCGATGGCGTCTCCTGGCGAGCCACAGGCAGGTCGGCCAGGGGCTGATGCGCGGTGGGATGACCCTCACGTGACTGCGTGCTGTTCTGTTCGGGTGTGCTCGGCTCGATCCCTGGCTGTTGGGTGCCCCCTACAATCGCTGGCTGGGACTGTGTGTCGGGTTGGGACCCCACCTGGGCTGGCGTGGCACGATGAACCACCTGCTGGCCTTGTGTACTCTGCCCGGCCCCTGTTTTTTCCGGCGTGTTTGGCAACACTGGGGCTTGCTGTTGGGTGTAAGGCAGAGCGTCTGGTTGCTGCTGCAACTTAGGCTGGGTTCCAGGCTGCTGTTCCACTGGCTGCTGTTGCATGCCTGGTTGGACCCCTGGCTGCTGTTGCATGCCTGGCTGGACCCCTGGCTGCTGTTGTATGCCTGGCTGGACCCCTGGCTGCTGTTGCATGCCTGGCTGGACCCCTGGCTGCTGTTGCGTGCCTGGCTGGACTCCTGGTTGCTGTTGCATGCCTGGCTGGACTCCTGGTTGCTGTTGCATGCCTGGCTGGACTCCTGGTTGCTGTTGCATGCCTGGCTGAGCCCCAGGCTGCTGTTTGACAGCTGGCTGGGTGACCGGCTGTTGCTGGCTGGCCGCGAGCAGCTCCGCCTGCTGCTGCTGCCGCCGCTCCCGCAAGGTACGCAGGTACTTGTGATGCCAGTCAGGGGCACGCGTTTTCAACTTCACCTTGCGGTCGCGCCACTCGTGGCTGTACGGATACAGGGGTGTGGCCGGCCGGGCGGCCGGTGGCGGCGGCGCGGCTGGCCGCGGACGTAATGCCTCCTCCACCTCCACCAGCTCTGTTGCTCTCTTTTCTATTCGCTGCTCTCGCACAAATGTCTTGGGTACATAACCTCGGACTCCATTCACCTGTCAACACAAAGAGCTTGGCTTAAAATCATCTTTGGGGTTGGTTGTTCTGTGGTTCCACATTGAGTAAGGCATCCTTTTCTTACTGAATGTGTCTGCCCTGGAGTTGTTCATCATGCTCTGACTGACATAGGCAGAGAACAATTTGGTCACATCCAACCTATGCATACAATAAACCTAACCTAAATGTCAATGCCTTCAGGCTTGAAGATGCATGGCAAGCTCAGTCAGGTTAAGCAATATTTCAGAGGCTTTTCTTCAAGCAATATCAAGCTAATGGTGCAAGGTATTAAGTCCAACATAGAACAAGACATACCCTAGACTTCTTGCAGCTTTTTCATGCTAATGTATACCTAACCAGGAAAATCTATACAGCTGTCAAAAACAAAATGCTGCAAAATTACAAAACACCAGATCAGTGTTGTTCCATACAATGCCACTTACCTCCACACCTAACAAACTGGGATTGTCTCCAGCTGGGTAGCTGTATATGATGACCCTGTCATTGGGCTTCATACTGAGCATTCCCTTTTCCCTTGCTGCATAACGCATCAGGGAAAACCCGTGTGATACAGGAACTGTGGAAGAGATAGCCCAATCACTAGTTAAAGGAATGGAGCACATAGAAAAGTTTTCCAATGCCACTTTTTATATAACATTCATGGATACTTATTCTAAAAGGCACCTTTTCACTCACAACTAACACCAAATAAATCATTGCCATTTTTATACATCTTTAGTGATAACTTTATTCACTGGAACACTGTCATGCAGGCACAACTACAGAGAAAATGTCTCTGACAAAAACAATGTGTAGACAATAACAGTTCAAAACTAATGCAAGGTAAAATAAAAACCTTTGCCAAAAAGAAAGTTGTACTATAAAAGGGCTAGCATGAAGTAAATCCCAAATAGATTTAGCCCAAAACCAGTGTGGAAGTCTTGTAAGTGATGGCAGTAAGATGAACAAAAAGCTGCAGCAGCATTTTACCACATTGAAGTCCTCTGATTCAAAATGTTAACTCTCCGCCTTAGGCTTCTATCAAAAAGTGACATGCTTAAGCATTGATGATGAAGTTGCCATCTTCACTTTTTGTGAAAGATTCACATTTTGTATGACAAGCCCGGCCCATATTTTGCTGCCAATACAGCAAAATAATTCCAGTTTCAGTAATGTTTACACAAGCAGCATAACTCCAGTATTCTTTGCCTAAAAAATGTGATGTACCTGGGGTCCATGCAACATTTTACTTTTTGAGACCCTTGCAATATTTCATGCTGGACCTAGTATCACCAAATTCATTTCAACTATCAGCCATATTTTGTGAGGCTGACCTACATCTAAATATATACTGAAACATCCTGATTTTTATGGCAAATGGCATCTAAAGGAAGTTGGTTTCTTACTTATAACATTCATCCATGCTTTCTGTCACTGCTCACAAGGTGTAACTTTAGCTAAGTGGAGATGTAGTGCTGCACTCATTATGCATAGCAACCATTGTATCCTGCATCAAAAACAATATTCCTTAGATGTGCTATCATTTTAGCTCAGGCCACATCAGTTAAGTACTAAATTCCAATCCTAAGTACATGTACCATTAACATGCATCCTTGATACATCTAAGCATTACATAACAATAGGAACTATCATGAATAAATATAAAAATTCATCATAGCCAGTGCTCTACGCTAGAAGTACAGGAGGTATGCACAGCAAAAGTATAGAACCATTCATCTCAAGTGAACAAAAAAATATGCTGTAACATATGTTGACAGGGACACTTTTCCCTAAATGCTTTGTGTGAGGTAGTTGCAACACTAGCACCAGTGAGCAACACATAAATAACTTTCATTGAACTTCAGAGATGGTGTATCATCAAACATTCATTAATTCACCTACATGCACCGAGTAACAACAAAGTGAGAGAACAGCACAAGGCATTTCCGGCGCAGCCAGCAGGCATAACAGCCCACTAAAATAAGTCAGCAAGGAATACCACTTACCATTGCATTCTAAATTTGCGCACAATCTATGGCTTGATAATTTCGAGTATATGACACCTATATTACACACGAGAACTACAAAATACAGAGCCCACACACCACGGCACCACTCCATGATCGTGTGTGCCCTGTTGGAAACAGTGCTTCCACATTATGTTTGGCAAAATAACAAGTGAAGTGAAAGGATTTCAAGGTTGGCAGTCCCAGCGCTAATCTTCACTACGGTTTTATCTCGTAACATCATTGACAAACTGACACATTATCGATCCACAATTCATTTGCCCTCCATCCACTCGGTTCCGCCGCCATAAGCCAATGTGTAGAGCTCAACTAACGCAAAAGTGGACAACATGCACTTGACAGCCAAAACAGTAGTCCAGAACAGATCTTAATGGTCTTCAGACTGCATCTGCAAATGGGTTTCAATTTATGCTTGCCTTCTTCGCCATAAAATTTCTGCAGGACTGCAAAGCAGGCTGATGCTGGATTTACTTAGGGGTGTCACCGTGGGATCTCCCATTGGCGAGATGCCGGGCGGCTCAGTACAACGTAACGACCTATCTGACACCAACGACCTTTCAGCCTTTTTACGCTTACGATCTTTCGGCTGTGAGCAAAGCGACCCTTCTAACCAACTTTCGAAACGAAACGAAAAATGACGAAACGGAACGAAATGAAGGTTCGACGCAGTCCAAAATTGTGTATCTTTTAGGATGAATGTTATTACACTTTGCTACCATATCACAGCTCACTATATATAAGATAACATGGCGCGCTTGAGTCGAATCAGGACAATGCAAGTTTGCGGAGCCAGGGTTGCCTTTTAAGGGTTCCGGACAGCCAAACTCTCGGGGCACGCACGAGTCTCCAACAGCAGAAGCGATAGCTGTTCCAACAAGCCACGGTGTTCAAACTGTCCCCTTTCTCATTTGTTCGCTTGTTGCACCGGCGACCCGACCGCAGAACCGGGCGTGGAGGCTGTGCTGCCGACTCCAGACGCAGGAGTGGCCCTGCTAGGCCGGTAAACGAGGGGACGACCATAAACAACTGAATGCTCACAGTTGACACTTCAAGAACGGATGCGAACAATTGCTACATGTTGGAACTCTGTTGTTGTTGGTCTTGTGGCACCACAAATGGACTGGTTTGGCACGGAAATAGATGACAGTGCCCCCACCTTTCTTCCATTTATTGGCCTGTTACAATTGTGATGGCTGGTCCCACCCATGCTAATTTTATGTAATATGATTGATATGTGAACGCTTCTCTGTTGTGTGTTTATGGTGTCACAGGAAAGCTATGAATGACTCACTTTCATAATCATTAACTCACATTTGTTCTTGAGGAGCAATATATCCCAGGCATCCACACACTTTAGGGTGTTCTATAGGTCTTATGACACACCTTTATGTATACTTGTTTATATGTACCAACTGTAGCAAACATACACCCATAAACTTGTGCTTTTTAGCACTGTGTAAATCACAGTCAATTAAAATTACCCATTTTGTTGATTGCAATAGCCAGACTTCTTTCCAAGCATGTGGCCACTGGGACAGTACATATATCATGCCATTCCTAGAGTAAGCATGTGCAGCATGTCAATGTCTCTCTGCCTGGTAAACTCAAAAGAAAGGTGGGTTGTGGCCTTGGGCAACTGGTATGATGTTACTGAAGATCCAGATGCAACTTCTTCAGACTCCTGCTCTATTAGCATGTGTGTCAGCCCCATTTCTTGTGTTCCCCCTTTAAGCCACTCCAAAATATAGTGCCCTGCTGTATGTGTTTATTGGCTCATGCATATATACTTCAATTTTATATGATGTGGGCTAGAAGCAATCACATATAAGCCCTACTGCCTTCTTTTATAGGTTGTTGAGCTTCTGCCTTCAATAAGTTATGGAGATCATTGAAAGAGATGTTTCATCTGCTTGTGTAAAGGAACCAAGTGTGTCCAGCCAGCAGGGGTTCCCGAATATTGTGGCTTGTGATATAGAGGTGAGGAGATGTGCCAAATGTGAATGAATTGGTTGTTTTGTGATCAACTTTTCTGTTTAGCTAATGCAAATGTTATTCATTACAAGTTTTAACTACTGATCCCTGATAACTTCATTCAGTATTTACCTATGCTGCTGATTGTTATTAAGGTTGTTGCACTCATTGCTGTGTTATATTGCTCCATGCCCACTTTGCACCATCTGTTTTGCAGAAAAATACCAAGAAAGACAATATGTCCATGTATGCTTCTGGGAGGCAGACAGCCCCCTCAAAAGAAGATGATGGCATTTGCAATCTGTGGAAAGAATAACTTCAAGGCCTTGACTTGCAGTGCAGGCCACCTCTCCCCCTTTGGTATCATTTTTGGAATGTTTCATACATGAAAGAAAGCCTAATAACTCAGTTGTTGAGGCAAAAACAAGAGTTTTGTGCTTACACAATATTTCTTTTTTTCCATTTTAGGTAGATCAGCATGCCAAGTCAGCTCCTGCAACAGGCAGCAAGAGGAAGAGTCTGTTTGCTCGACAAGCAGAGAAACGAAAACAAGAACACGAAAGAAAACCCTCAGCTCCTGTTAGTGGCATCACATCCACATTTGGTAAGCAGTGCAATAAACTAAAGGTTTGCAACAGCTGATATATGACATCAGGGGCTGAGCGGGGCCTCACATGAACTGTGGTGTCAAATCAGTCTGGCCAGAGTACATTGTATGGTACACCAGAAGCTATCAGTGCTGCATCCACTCATCATGGACTGAGTAGTTTTCAGCAACAAGGAGCACAATTTTTGAAACATAGTGCTGTTTAGTGTTTGATTTGTACTCTAGTGAAGGGTGAAATTGGCCCAGTTAGCCTTTGTTGTGCCATTTGAAATATATAGCTGCCAGATGAAAAACTACCAGAACAGCTGTTTGCATCCACCGAGATGAAAGCAAAACGTTGAATAAATACGAGCCTGCCACGTCGGTCGGCTACTGTTAACAGCCTGGCAAAGCTGGAAGAGGGGCTCCAGGCTGCACGGGTCCCGGCAATAAACAGAACTTAGGCCCCGCCCAGCGGCAAGCCATTGTGAGTCAGGCCATAGTGATTTGAGCCAAGCTGAAATGCTACAAGGTCTGTACAGAACATTGACATTTGTATTCTAACCTTATCTCACTCTGTGAAGAGAAAACGTTGCAGCAGACTCTCGTGTTCACTTTTTGGATGCAATGCGATCGTGCAAAACCCTGAAAGCATTATTCCAAAAATGACGTAGGAGGCGGTTTCACGACAGTCAGCAGTGACCTATGATATGGTTTGTCTGTTCCCACAATCACTGCACAGTCTTTGTAAAACAAACTTGTCCCAGTCGTGCCATTTATTGTTAGTACCATTTAGTAGCATCTTTTACATCCACATTTTCACTCATACTTTCTACTGTAATTTTAGCTGGAGTGTCAGGAGTCTTTGTGGTTGTCTTATCACGTGTGAATGAAATTATGTCGGGTGCAAACTTGCCACAGAAAGTCAAATTAAAATCCCCAAAGTCGAAGACAATGCCCGTGGGCTGTTAAGTCAGAACGCATGCACAATCCACGCACATGTCCGTACCCCGAAAACTTAGGCTTGCGCTTCGGAACAATGTCGTCTGCCCTGCGGACGACGAGCCGAAAATGGCACCGAGCAGAGCGGCGCGTGCCGCGGCTGTCACGGGCGGCGTCCGGCCAGCGTCGCGCTGCGTTGGCGGCGGCGCTACCACTGGCTGAGGTCGACGGTCGGGATGGCCCGGCTGTCGCAGTCGGTGACGGCGTTGGCGGCGGTGTCGGCCACGCGGAAGGCCAGCGGCTGAACGCGCGTGATGCCGTCCACGTTGTCGCAGAGCACGCGCGCCCAGCTGGTGCGGCGCACCTGAGCCAGCTGCGCCCCGGTCAGCTGCCACGGCCGGTCGCCGCCCAGGTCGTAGAAGAAGTTGTCGCCGTGGCGCAGTCGGATGAACTGGTCACCAATGAGACGGCCGAAGGTGCGGCCCAGCGCCACGCCCGGCAGCGGCCGCTCCAGGACGCCGCCAACGAACATGTCCACGTCGTCGACGTGTCCGTAGGCGGCGCGCAGGACGGTGATCGCCTCATCGGGCAGGTCGGAGCTCAGGTCCTCCCAGCGCTGGGCGCGCGGCAGACCGGCCGCGGCACGCGCGTCGTTGTACGTGGCCAGGCCGTGGTCGCGGCCGCGCTGGATATTAAGCGCCACCAGGTCGAGCCCGTACGCGTCGCCGTCGCCCTGGAACAGGTGTTCGGTGAGGTCCTCGGCGAAGTAGCCGTCCAGCGCCTGCGCCTGCTGCGCGACCAGGCCTCGTGCCAGCTCGTTGAGCCGCTCAGACGAGTAGAGCAGGTGCGGATCGAAGAAGAAGTCGCGCAGCAGTACGCTGGTCGCGCTGCCGCCCAGCGCGCTGAACATTTTGAGCGTGCCGGACACCATGCTGTGGCCGAAGCGGAACGCGGCCGTGGCGAACTCGTTGCTGATGGACGGGTTCAGCGTCGACATGTACTTCTCCGAGTGGGCAGTGCCGGTGCCCGGCAGCAACTCGTTGCGGGTTAGGAAGTCGGCGTCGAGCAGCGTCGGCAGCCATTCGTTGTAGGTGATGTGCTGCATCTGGGCGACGACAATGCGCCGCGCCTCCTGGAAGAGCCGCTCGTCGTCCCAGGTTGTGTGCCGCGCCGCCAGCGCCGACGCCACGCGGTTGTGCTGGCGCATCCAGATGGTGTGCGTCACCGTCAGGCTGATCTGCTCGTTGACGCGCACATCGCCCGCCTCGAAGCAGACGGTGATGGCGTTGATGCAGCCGCCGCCCTGGGAGTCGGCCGGCAGCAGGCTGCCCGGCTGAGTACGCAGCCAGCCGCCGCCCAGCTGGCGCAGGTGGCGCTGGTGCGCCTCTTCCGAACCGTACACGTTCGAGCCGTCCAGGAAGTGGGAGAGGACGTTCTGCTGCTGCGCGTCGCGCGTCGCGCCGCACGTCGGCGCCGGCGCCGGCAGCGAGCGCACGAAGTCCATGCAGGCCTGGCCCAGCGGCCCGTAGAAACGGATCGGTCGTTGGGATGGTGATCGGCAGACACTGTGGGTGCAGCTGCTGCGCCGGCAGCGGCAGTCCGGCGTCCGTGCAGCAGGCGATGCCGGCGCCGCCGTCCAGCGAGAAGTGCGGCGTCAGCATCAGGTCGTGGTCGACGAACTGGCCCCACTGCATCACGGAGAGCGTGAAGCGGGCGTCGGGCACGTCCTCGCTGCGAGTCACCGCCTGGCTGACGACGCGGGCCGACGGCAGCTGGCCGCCGGCGGCGGAGCGCGAGCGCGGCTCGAACACGCCGTCATCGTACCGACTGGGCAGCAGGCGGAGCAGCGGCTGGCCAGCCATGCCCAGTTGCCGGTTCTCCGGGTTGTTACAGGAGCCGTCCTGCGTGCGGAAGCTCGGCTGCGATGGACATGCGGGTGTGGTGGGCGCCGGGCAGCCGGATCCCGGACCGGGACCTCCGCCGCCGCCGCCGCCGCCGCCGCCGCCGCCGCCGCCGCCCGAACCACCGCCGCCGGTACCGCTGGGGTGTCGGTTCCGCTCCAGCTGGAGCAGCGCTAGACGTGCACTGTTCTGTTGCTCCTCCCTGAAGGGAAACTTGGTGCGGTGACGACGCGCCGCACCACGGGCAACACTGCCCTGCTCCAGCAGCCGGCGCTCCAGTTCGGCCTGCCGGCGCAGCAGCATCTCGGGCGAGGGCCGGCCCGGCTCGGCGGCGGCGGGGGCAGCGGCCGGGGCGGCCTGCGCCCGGATCAGACCTGGCAGGGCTCCCAGCACGGCATTCGGCGGCGGCCGGCAGCATACGCCGGCTGAGCCGTCCGCCAGTTGGCAGCTGCTCAGCTCTGGCTGGCCGGCCGGCGCCAGCGGACAGAAGCGCTGCCGGCTCGCACTGGCAGCCCGTACTGCCCGTGCTGGCTCCGCCGCCACCCCCCGCCGCCTCCGCCTCCGCCGCCTCCGCCGCCCCCAGGCCGGCCGCCGCCGCCTCCACCTGCGCCGCCTTCCCCGCCGCCTCCGCTTGCGCCGCCTCCCCCGCCGCCTCCGCCTCCGGTCCGGCGGCGCCTGTCGTCCCTCTGACGTGCGGCGATCCCGACTGTCAGCTGGCAGCCGACCAGCACCACCAGCATCTGGTGCACAACGACGGACGGTATGAGGGCCATATTGTGACGGACAGTGATGACAACGTCGCTTTTGCAAGAAAACGCAGGCTGCGCTTGAGGGAGAGGACACTTAGGGACCAGAGAGCAACAAAGCATCAGGATAATTGTTTTTTTTTTTCTGTCCGGCTCCGTCCGCGTAGTTGCTGTAGCAGTCATGGTCTCGGGCGCATGTTGGCGTGCAGTAACGGTACAGGACAGTAACAGTGCAGTAAGAAGGGTGTTTGTATTACTATGTAACGTTTCAGTGGTTCAGCCAAAGCCAACAGACAACATAGGCACAATTATGCATCACAAGAATATAGAAAACCCTCGTCGCCTCGGTTCAGAACTACAGGTCTGCTACTCTTGCTGAAAATGGTAGTTTGTTTTATGGAACATCTATATGTAGTAGATACGATATATAAATACACACACACACACGCACGCACGCACGCACGTACGCACGCACGCACGCACGCACGCACGCACGCACGCACGCACGCACGCACGCACGCACGCACGCATGCACGCACGCACGCACGCACGCACGCACGCACGCCCACACACCCACACCCACCCACACCCACACCCACACCCACACGCACACGCACACGCACACGCACACGCACACGCACAGCACACACACACACACACACACACACACACACACACACACACACACACACACACACACACACACACACACACACACACACACACACACACACACACACACACACACACACGCACACGCACACGCACACGCACACGCACACGCACACGCACACGCGCACGCGCACGCACACGCACACGCACACGCACACGCACACGCACACGCACACGCACACGCACACGCACACGCACACGCACACGCACACGCACGCGCACGCGCACGCGCACGCGCACGCGCGACACACACACACACATTGCAACTAGCCGTGCTTGACAAGGGCTTTGAAGACGAGGTCATTCCTGAACAATTATTTGTTCAACTGTTGTTGCAAGTTATAGCGGCAATTGCAGCTGGTCCTGGAAGATTTGATGCTGAATCCGCATGTGCCGATGCGTGCATGCGTGCATGCTCGTGTGAATGAGTAGGTATGTGCGTGCGTGAGGACGTGCGTGAGGACGTGCGTGCTTTGGTGCATGCATGCTTGCTTCAGTATGTGTTTCGGTACGTGCGTGCTTGGGTGCGTGCGTGCCTGCACGCGTTTTTGCATGCGTGTTGTGGAATCGTTCATGACGTTAGGCGCATGCGTGCCTCCACAATCTGGTGAACCACACTTCGATCCTAGAACTGCAATCACAGGGGCTGTCGCCGATCAAAACGGCTCTGTTGGAGCACAGTCCACGGCTCGGCTAGCCGCAAGCTGGGTGGGGGCCGCGCAAACCATGATCCCAAATACTCACCACTGCCGCTGCACAACGCATCTTGGCTGCTAGAGGCACGCTGGCACAGCGTTGTCGTCGCCGGGGAGCGTCGTAGCTTTATATACGACGGCGGGGGGCGGCACGCACATGTGCCGCCGTCCGTCTGTCCTGCATGTCACGCACAGCCCGCTGCGGCGGCACGGCCCGCCCTCCGAGGCGCAAGAGCGGGGCCGGCCACGCGGCCGCCGGCGCACGCGGCCGACAGCCGGCGCCGCTGGTCAGCGTGCGCACCCGCCGGCACACGGATAGGGCGCCTGTGGTGTTAAACGAGCGCTAGTTGGCGCTCAAGACGAGCGGCCGCACCCATAAGGCATGAGCTGCATTTAGATTGTACCAGGGAGGTGTGTTTCGGCTGGGTTCCAGTTGAATTATCTGATGCATCAGTGATTCTGCTGGATCGCCCAAGCTCCATGTGATCCTCCGCCCACTGTTTGGAGTTGTTACTACGCCTTTGCTCCGATGTAGAGCACACTGCTCATGCTGGTTTGCCTCTTTCATTGTCCTCGCAACACCTGTCGTGTTGAGACAAATGAATGTATGCAAATTGTACTTGTTGGCAGACAAAGGAAAATGACGACGTATATGGTAGCACCTGTTTGCAGATAAGAGGAAAATGGCGACGTATTTCCGTATTTTGTATATCTTTTCAGCATTATGAAGCGTGGAATAAGGAATGCCCATGCAAGAGCGAGTTTTTAAACTTGATTTGGGATTAAGGCCACATCGTAAAGCATAACACTAAAAATTGCCACCCCTGCAAGCGATGTCCAAATAACTCATTCAAGGATCTCAAGCGATGTCCAAATAACTCATTCAAGGGTCCAATTTCGTATTCAGCTTGGGATAGCTTCAATCCTTCCCCCCACCAACTGTTGGGTGGCCCCAGCCAGCCAACTTTGGGATGAAGGTGGACCAAATAAATCCAGGGAGAAACACGCTTGTTGGGTATATTGGGGGCAAGTCGAGCCATTTTACACAGTTCATCCTCCCAGCTCACTTTGCGAAACTACACCCCTGCTTTCATTTGTACCCCGTGGCCTACTTTTCTTGACGCTTGTGTTCTAACTGACTCTTTCATTTGGCTACATTCACAAATAATTTTGCACTGAAGAAAGGCATTCTCGCCCATGTCTGGCGGGCGCTGATCAGGACGTGAGTGCTCTGGCGGCCGCTGATCAGCGCATCGCGTTCTGACGCGTAGACGGCGGCTGCGCTCTGGCGGCCGCTGATCAGGGCGTTCTGTTCTGACCCGCAGACGGCGACAGCGCTCTGGCGGCCGCTGACCAGGGTGTCGTGTTCTGACCCGCAGACAGCGGCTGTGCTCTGGCGACCGCTGACCGGGGCGTCGCGTTCTGACCCGCAGACAGCGGCTGTGCTCTGGCGGCCGCTGACCGGGGCGTCGCGTTCTGACCCGCAGACAGCGGCTGTGCTCTGGCGGCCGCTGACCGGGGCGTCGCGTTCTGACCCGCAGACAGCGGCTGTGCTCTGGCGGCCGCTGACCGGGGCGTCGCGTTCTGACCCGCAGACAGCGGCTGTGCTCTGACGGCCACTGATCAGAGCGTCGCGTTCTGACCCGCAGACAGCGGCAGTGCTCTGGTGGACGGCTCCGGCTTGGGCTCAGCTCATCAGGCGATCAGCATCCACCAGCAGAACGTGGCCGCTCTGGTGGCCATGTCCGAAGAAGAGCGACTCAACGCCCAGCGCGAGCTGGCAGCCAGTCTGGATCCCAAACTGATGGAGTTTGTCAGGCAGCGGAGAGCCCGGCAGGACCAGGAACGCGTCAAGAGGCCGCCCCTCGCTGCCGGTGATGGGCAGGCGTCGGCTACCGCGGAGCAGCCCATGGAAGAGTTCACCACGCTGGAGGCGGGGGAGTCCGAGATGGCGGCGGTCACAGACTCGCCGGCCGCGGGGCGACTGCCGGCGCCAGCGCCGGAAGTGGGCGAAGACCAGGCGATGGAGCAGCTGGAACGGGTGAAGGATCAGCTGCCCATCGACCTGGCCGAGGCCAGGAAGTGGCCGCACATGGATCACGTCGAGCCGGAGAAGCTGCTGTGGATGACGCAACTGCCGGCGCCGAAGGTGGAGCACGGCCAGACCGGCTTTGTCGCCCGCTTCGACTTCGAAGGTTGGTGGGTGGGCAGTGCCAGACGGATGACACTACATGGCTCTGCAGAGCGCCGGCGTCTGCGCCCGTTGAGAGCGAGGGGAGGGGCGGAGCGGTTTGATTCACAAGCGAATTTCACGACATCTCGTGTCTACCGGGAAAGGTACCTCTTGCCTCTTTGTATGTAAAGAATGCGTAGCGCATGCCATGGTGCACCACTTCCGCGGAGCACAGTCGACTTTATGTTGAAGATCAACTCATTTTCTTAAGCTGGTTGTCGGGGTGTGTCCATTGTCGTGTAAATGGACAATGGACATAGCTTTTGTCGAGGTTGGGGTCTTGTTTTATTGAAACAATGTGTTCAGGTAGTGCGTGGTAGCCCACATGGATTATTTCAGGATAGCAGGATAAAGTTGACGAAGCACAGAAGGCTTACACTCGGAGCTGTATTACGTTATACTCGTAGCGTTGGCTTTTGACATTGTTCTTTGCATACTTCTATATCTTCCTGGGCTTGGAAGGTAACTTATTACGAGTCACTTATGCTGCTTTTGCTGACGTACATGTAAGATTGCATAAACTTTCAAAGCTTCGACAGCTTCATTTTCGTTGTATATTAAGCGTTTGTTTTACAATTTGGGAGCACGTTTGCCACTTGCTGACATATCCACTGC